TGCTTTCATGATGCAGCCTTCTTGCAAGACAGTGTGGAAGATGTCTGTGAAATCAGTCACTCATTGTCAGTAGACACACCCAGTAATAACATCTGCAACACTCGCTCTGTGGAAAGGAGGAAGTAGCTGAATGTTACTTGGAGCTGTTATTACGTGGCTGGATCTCCACAGAATAGGAAATTATACTTGACATTGGTAGCAGTTGAAATTCTTACAACTTTGCAGGCACGGGTGTCACTGGCTAGAACAGCATTTATTTGATTTTGATTTGATTTGTCGTCATGTGCACCTAAGTACAGTGAAAAGCTTTGTTTGTGAGCAGTACAGACCAATCATAGTAATCAAGGACATACAGATCATAGGGTGAAAAAAACTTGGACAGACTAAAGCTTACAGGTTACACAGCACAGGACGTATGCAAGGCAAGATCAGCATTATTTGAAGTTAGAAAGTCCATTCATTAGTCTAATAATGGCAGGGATGAAGCTGTTCTTGAACCTGCTGGTGCATCTGTTCAAGCTTCTGTATCTTCTGCCTGATGGAAGAGGTTGTAGGAGATCATTGCCAGGGTGGAATGGATCTTTGATGATGTTGGCAGCCTTTCCGCAAGAATGAGAGGTGTAAATGGAGTTCGTAGATGGAAGGTTGGCTTCCATGATGGTCTGGGCTGTGCACACTACCTTCTGTGGTTTCTTACAGTCCTGGGCAGAGCAGCTGTCATACCAGCCCATTATGCACCCAGACATAATGTGGTGCTTCTGTAAAAGTTCGTGAGGGTCCTTATGGACTTGCCAAATTTCCTGAGCCTCCTGAGGAAGGAGAGGTGTTGTTGCATTATTGACCATCCCTAATTGCCCAGAGGAGCAGTCCAGCCGCATTGCTGTGGGCCTGGAGTCACTAGTAGGCCACACCAGATAAAGTGGCAGGTTTCCTTCCCGATAGGGCATCAGTGAACCAGAAGTGTTTTCATAGCAATTGACATGGTTACATGGTCACCACAAAGCTAGGTTTTTTTCACTGAATTCAAATTTCCCCATCAGTGATGATCAAAGGGATTCAAACCCATGTTCCTAAAAGATTTGAATCCTAGCCTAGTGACATTGCTGACATACCACTCCCTCACCTTTTAATAAATGGGAACAAACTGAATTGATACTTAGAAAAACATGGGCTACTAAATGAAAGTCAGCATGCATTTCTTTAAAGAAATGATTCTTTTAAGCATCTGCTTCATCCAGAATTCATTGGAGAGGATCAATGAGACTAATGTGGTTCCCATCTAGGAAAGGCTGTGTTCCAGTCACTGGGATGTATTTATCCTGCACTTGGCTCTCAACTGCTTCTGCTCTGCTCCCAGGTATTAATGGCTGTTTAATGGTGTCCTTCTGTGATCCTAAATGCTGATTTCCCCCATCCCTGTCTGAAGAGCTCCTCAAATTATAGGAGGGCGTATCTACTTTCTGTTCATTCCAACAAAGGTATCAAAAATAGTGACAGCATGTTGTAAGCTATAAATTTGGCTTTGATAGCTTTGATAGCTCTTTATCAGTCAGTATGGAAATGATAGGCCAAGTAGCCATGATCTATAAGTGACCAAATGCTTACTGCTTCTCCCGTTTCCCTTGGCACCTTAAGCGAGAGAGCAGTTGTGTCGGTTGGCTTCAGGAAATCCAGTGCTAAGCAGCATGGAATTGAACGGGCAAGTTTACTACACAGCCTGGTGCTGCTGTCGCTCGTCCAGAGATCTCTGAGCTGATCCTGAATTTGACCTCCAGGCCTCAACTTTAATCACCTAGCCATGCCCCCTGACCCTGAACCCTGCATATTGACATTGCGCAACAAGACTACAGACTGCAGTGATTTCACCAAGTCATTTATGTGCACATTAATAAAATCATACTTGTTCAGCACAGCAGAAAGATCTAAGATCCAAAATCCCAGGCCCGTCCCATTTGCATGGAGTTGGCTAGCATTCTGTGGGCAAGACACCCAAAGATACTCGCTGTTAAATTCTAGACCTGAATCATTGAGAGAAATGCAGAAGATGAGGAGATGAAACCTGAGATACTTGAGGAGAGGATAAATGAAAGTGCCTGTGCAAATAAATTATGGAGAGAAAAGTTAAAGACCTGGGAGACAAAAGGAAAGAGCATCCGGCAAATAAAACTATCAAAGAAACAGTGTATGCCCCCTTGATGTTCCCCTTCTCATTACACTAGCTATTTTTGGCACTGCTTACTCATGAAACTGCAGAATATCCTACATCACAATTGTTTAATCCTAGTAATGCATGTAACAAATTCATACTTGATGGTGCATTGCAATAAAGCAGGTTTGCGTTTTGGTGATACAAGATGTTGTTTCAACATGTCACCTTTCCTGTGTAATCAGTTCTTACTGGTGACATGTTTACACATAAATAGATAATGTAATTGCAGATTCAATTGATTACAGTGTAAAGACTAAAATTTCATCGTGTTTCTTTTTATTGGAAAAATGTTAAGGAGCACCCCCCCACCACCAACTATTTGGAATAAGCCATCAGAAATACAATGCCTATGTGTTCCCTGTTTTGTTTAATTAAGCTGGTACTTTTGGGAGGTGTGGGGGCGGGGGTGTGGGTGGGTGGGTGGAGTGGTAAACTGAAATTGCATTCTCCTACATTAAACATGACTGTAATACGTTGTTTCTTTACTCAGGGCCAGATTGAGCTATTGGCTAGCTATATACAATACACAGCAAACACTGTGTACCACTTGCTTTGTTTTATGCATTTGTATCCATGGAGTTGACGAGTGACCGGCACAATCACAACGAAACTGTTTCACGGTGAATTGTTTATACTTGCAATAAAATGTTATGGCAAAGACTTGTATAAACAAAGATAAGATCTATGTGTTTGATAACTTAAAACCTCACAGTGCTCATGATTGAGATGTTATCTGCAACAGCAGGACTTGATAGATATTTGTATGCTGTGACAATGCAGTTGCAAAATCAATAGGTTTTTATATCTACACTAGATGTAATTTTCTAAGGGTTTAACTCCTGGTGAGATTTCTTTGTGTGCCAAACAAAGTAAGTCTTATTCCTCTCTTGCAGCAGAATATCAGCTTCACCATCTATGAAACAGCTAGCTGATAATGGCAATCTACTATTATTTACAGCCTACTATTCTTTCAAGTTTCCTTAGTAGTTCTTGGTCCCACCACGGGGCAGCTTAACTAAAAACTGCTGTGATTGTTTTGAGCAGTTCTGACAAAGGGTCACTGGACCCGAAATGTTAAAATCTGAATTCCGTCCACAGATGCTGCCAAACCTGCTGAGGTTTTCCAGCAATTTCTGTTTTTGATTGTTTTGAGCCGCTGTCTTGCCCTGTTAAGCATCTGTTTCCTTTCCTGTGCCTATGTTCCTTTAAATCATGTTCAGGACTCACAGGAATTCCCTCAATGACACTCCATATACAAGGTTCGAATGAAGTTGGTTTCTTGTAACTTTTTCTCAACTTGAGAAACACATGGACTTATTGGATGGCACATGAGATATTGCTTGATTTTCTGCAACTGAGTGGCTTCATTTGAAATTGATGCAGGGAGGTGGGGCCATAATGATAACATTACTGTAACAAGGGCTACTTGGCCCATAATTTCCATGCTGACTGACAAAGAGCTATCAAACCTAGGCCTACATTTCAGCTCTTCATCCGTAGCTTACAGCACTTCAAATATGATGTATTGAGGGCCCATACCTTTACCACCCTTTCAGGCAGTGAAATCAATTACCTAACTCCAGGCTGATGTTCTGGAGATGTGGAATTGAAAAAAATGGTGGAATATGAATTCAGTAAAAATCTGGAATAAAAAGCTAGCCTAGTCACAACCAGAGATAGTAGGAACTGCAGATACCGGAAAATCTGAGATGACAAGGTGTAGAGCTGGATGAACACAACAGGCCAAGCAGCATCAGAGGAGCAGGAAGGCTGATGTATCAGGCCTAGACCCTTCATCAGAAATGGGGGAGGGCAAGGGGTTTCTGAAATAAATAGGGAGAGAGGGGGAGGCGGATAGAAGATGGATAGAGGAAAAGATAGGTGGAGAGGAAACAGACAGGTCAAAGAGGCGGGGATGGAGCCAGTAAAGGTGAGTGTAGGTGGGGAGGTAGGGAAGGTTTCACAAGCTTCAAAATCTCCCCTCCCCCTACCACATCCCAAAACCAGCCCAGCTTGTCCCTGCCTCCCTAACCTGTTCTTCCTCCCACCTATCCCCTCCTCCCACCTCAAGCCGCACCCCCATTTCCTACCTACTAACCTCATCCCACTCCCTTGACCTGTCCGTCCTCCCTGGACTGACCTATCTCCTCCCTACCTCCCCACCTACACTCACCTTTACTGGCTCCATCCCCGCCTCTTTGGCCTGTCTGTTTCCTCTCCACCTATCTTCTCCTCTATCCATCTTCTATCCACCTCCCCCTCTCTCCCTATTTATTTCAGAATCCCCTTCCCCTCCCCCATTTCTGATGAAGGGTCTAGGCCCGAAACGTCAGCCTTCCTGCTCCTATGATGCTGCTTGGCCTGCTGTGTTCATCCAGCTCTACACCTTGTTATCCCTAATCATGACCATGTTGCTATCAATTGTTACAAAACCTCATCTGATTCACTTCACCTTGAGCGAGAGGTATCTACTGTCCTTACCTCACCTGGCCTAGAGATCCACAGCAATGCAGTTAACTCTGAACTGTGCTCTAAGCAATAAGAGATACTCAGTCTTGGGGAATAAAATGTGTCAGATGGAATATGCTTCAGTGACACTGCACTTTCAGAATAGTTATCTTAATATCAAGTTTAGAATAGCTATGGAGAAGGATGAGCAAAAGTCTAGAATTAAAAAAAAACTTGAGTTTCAGAAAAAGAGTCATATTGGACTCAAAACATTAACTCTGTTTCTCTCCTCACAGACGTTACTGGATATGATTTTTTTTAGTGTTTTCTGTTTTTATTTCAGATTTCCAGCATCTACAATGTTTTAACTTGTGAAGAACTGATTTCAGAAAATTGGGAGGAATCTGGCCCAGATACATTGGAGTCAAAAACTGGCAGGCAGAAATTTCCTTTCATGACCACTGGATGCTTCAAAGTGCTTTACAGTCAATGAAGCGCTTATGAAGTGTAGCCACTGTAAAGTAGGAAACATGATGAGTAAATTGCACAAAGCAGACTCCTAAAAAGAATAATGTTTTTATGATCATTTGTTTATTGTGATGTTGATTAGAGGAGAAATATTGGCAAGAATACTAGGGACACCTCCTCTGTCTATTTACAAAATATTGATTTTCACGTCCACCTGAGAGGATATCCAGAATATGGTATCTCAGTCTAGCACTCCCTCAGTACTTTGGTGAACGCAGCCTAGATTTTTTTTGCTTCAGCATCTGCAATGGGACCTGGTTCCACAAGTGTGTGATTTAGAGGCTGCTTTACCACCAACTGAGCCAAGGCTCTCAAATGCATACAGGTAAGGGCTTCAGGAGCGGATAAACTGACACAAAGACAAAATCCGGTGTGGACATGGAAATAGACATTCTTAATAAAGGTACAGAATGTTTAGGATTTGGAAAACAATGCCTGACAGTTTGGTGAATACAGATTGAACAGCAGCCGTTGCTGTGGAATTAGATTTATGTTTGAATGTCAAAGAAATTGTTAAATGTAGGTGAGTGGAACAAACTGAGTTATTATCCAGGCTCTGGCACAGACTCTGGCTGAATGCTTCAGTGCTAAGTGTGCTATGATTCTGTAAACATCAGCATAACTGTTTCGTTGCAGAAAGCAATCTTAGACCATTTCTCTCAGGATTAGTGAATCCGTCTTTAAATGTAATGAAACCTTATTAAATCTGTTAACAAAGCAATGGATCTTTGATATGGGTTTTGTTAGAATTTTTCTGCAGCTTTTCATTCAATATTCTGTCTTTGTCCTGCTATTTTGAAGGTGAGAGCTATTACTGGATTAGAGTCAGAGATAGTCCTCCAGAATCTCACCAAACTCCAATCTTCTGAAATTCACACAGGCCTCTTAGTTGTAGTTAATGGATTGTGAACCCGAAAAACAATCCTATCTGTTTACTTTTGCCCCTCTCTCATCCGCTGAAGCCAGAAAATGTAATTTGAATCTTGCACAAATCTTTTAAGTATAAGCAATCTTCTGATGTTGACTGAACTGAGTGCAGGCTAAACGTTGAACTTACTGAAATGGCTCAGTTACATGCTAGATCTAAACGTCAGCCATAGATAGGAAAGGACAAGTTACCAATGTTCAAATACTTAATCCTGGTAATTTGTGTTCCAAATCACACAAGACACTAGCTATGTCATTGTTGGGCTGCTAGGTTTTGGTAGGTTTCTAAGATTCGTTACATGTCATTATTTCATAATTGTTGAAATGTATTGATAATGCAATACAATAAAACCAATAAATATTCTCACAATATTTCCTTTAGATTCTGGTACAAGTGCTTTCAAGCAAGAGAAACCACAGAAAATGGCCACAATTTATTTCACAAGATATAGACCGTCATGTGGAAAATATTAGAAATAAGGTTTATGTTGTGAATGGCCAAGCGATGGGACGGACTCTCCTGCCTATACCCAGCGTTGCAGCTAAAATGGGAGGCAACAGTCAAAAACCAGGGAATGGGAACAAGTAAGGTGCAAATGTTAAATACTTGTAACAAATGCAGATGTTAACACTGTCCATATACAAAGTTGGCAGTTGCACAATTTAAAATTCACAAATGACATGTTTTTCAATTAATTGTTTGATTAATCAATCACTATATTAATTAGCAATTTAAAAATCTAATTGATGATCTTGTGAATATGAATACATGTTGGGAATAATTCTGAGCATCGTTAGCTGTGCATTATATTGCAGAGTGAAATGTCTGCCCATTTCATAATTCATCTGATTATATCCATTGCTGATAATGTCTGGGCAGTCTGGTTTGCCATATTACACCCCAGCTGGTAAAATGCAAAATTAGACCTTTTCTGTCTCATCCAATGATAACATTTCACAGGCAAATATTCATATCTGTCGGTATAGACTGCATAATCTGTGTTAATAGCAAGATCATCTACATATTAGGACCAGTTAATATTGAATATTTGGGCTCTGATTTTTCTTTCTGGGCTGGGTGTGCAGAAGCTGGAGAAATCCTGGCTTTGGTAACCCTCTCGCTACCTGTAGTCTGCTTCAACATTCCAGCCGCTTGCTACTCTCTTTCTTATTCTTTGCTGCTTTCTCCTACTTGTGCTGTTTGCTGTGCTGCTTCCTTCACCATTCCCTCTGCTTCCTATCACCGCTCCTTTCCATTCATGATTCCTGTCACCACTTCCTCCTGTTGCTTAGCATTTGATCTATCACTTCCTCCATTCACACCATCTTCACTGCTGCCTCCTGCTCCCTTTGCTGCTCTCTCCTTTAGTGGAAGGAAGTGGTGGAGGAAGGTGGACAGCAGGGAGTGTGAGTAAATGAAAGCAGGAGGGAACAGAGAGTAGTGACAAAATTGGAAGCAAGAAAGACAGTGTTCTTTTCTCTTCTTGTTTGGTCTCTGCCATCTTTTTTGCAGGCACCTGACAGGTATGTCACAGTTTGTGACATTGCATGGATTGCAGCTGCATGGGCAAGTAGCACACATGAACAAATTTTCAGTTATATAGATCAGAAGTATGTTACTCTCATTTAGACTGCACATGCTTTGTGTTGTCTCTTGTTCACTTACATCCGTTATCAATGCTTAATAGAGTTTAATGAACTAACCTGCTGAAACCTCACACATCTATATCTCGTGGCTTCTGATATTTTTTTGTTGCTCTAAATGAAAACATTTGTCGAAGAATGTTTATCTTGCTGCTTTGCATTGCATGCATTTGTATAATTTTATGGATTTGCGCAGAACAAAACTGAATATGAAGCACCTCGCCTACAGAACATTTGACAGGATACCTGAGATGCAATTAACTAAGGCAATTGCCAGCTATATGTAATCAATCTTCCGACCTCAGTTTCTTTTTGTATGTTACTCTTTTTTGATCTCCTGTTCTCAACTACTTTCATTGCTTGACTTCTGAAAATAAAGACTTTTATTTATAGTATCTCATTACATTCCAGAATGCTGCATGCTGTGGATTATTTTTAAGGTGCAAGCAATTTTTATAGATAGTCATTTTGAACACAGTAACAGCTCATGCACAGCAGTGAGACAATTATTAACCAGTCAGTTTTGTTGGAGTTGGAGAATTCAAACCCTGGAAGGGCTCCCTGTTCTTCAAATAATGTCATGAGGGCTTTAATGTCTATCCGAGCATGCAGTTTATTACTGTCCTCAAAAAGCAGCACGGCACTCTATCAGCATTTCACAAAAGTATCTGCCTAAGTTATGATCTCCAGTGGGGCTTAATCTGGCAACTTTCTAATTTAGATGAGAGGAGTAATAACTGAGCCAAGCTGTCAAGTGCTAATTGTAGTTAAGTTTCTTAAACAAAAAATCTGCAGCAATGTCACATAACATCAAGAAAATGCTTTAGTTACCATCAAAAGCTCCAGGATGACACTGCAGAAGTTCCTCAAGGTAGAGTCCGAAGGCCAACTATCTTCAGCTGCTTTATTATTGACCTTCCTTCCATCATAAGGTCAGAAGTTAGGATGTGCACTGAAGAAGAAGAATATCCCTTATTGTCATGTGTACTCCATTGTAGAAGCACAGTGGAAAGCTTTTACATTGCCTGCATCTTATAGTGCATCTTAGGTACAAGTACCTAGGTACAAATCTTGGATACAAAAGAGGAATAAAAAAGTAGTTGCATTACTTTACAGAGTTTAATAAATAAGTTAGAAATAAGACATTGTTAAAGGATTGACTTTACAGCCAGGTTAAAAAAAATTCAAATAAACATTACATTGTAGCAGCTCAGCACAGGGCTTCCGCACATGGTCTGACTGCCTGTGTCAGGCCCCAGTCCAACAGCCATTCCCGCTCTGCTCCCAGCCTCCAGTCTGTTTCAGGGCTACCTCCCCCACTCCAATCTCCGCCTGGGACCCGCCTGGGACCCACTGCCTGGCTTCGGGGCTAAGGGTAACGAAAAAGAAAAAGAAAAAAGGAAGAAAGGAAAAGAACAGGCGGAACAGATGACCTCTGGCAGAAAGGTCTTACTCTGCTGCCATCTTCACAATGTTCAAAACCATTTGTCACTCCTCAGAAACTGAAGCATTCTGTGTTCATATGCAGCAAAACCTGAAAGATGTAGGCTTGAGCTGATAAATGGCAAGTAACATTCATGCTACCCAAGTGCAAGGCAGTGATCATTTCTAACAAAAGAGAAACTATCACCTGTTGATGTTCAATGACTTTGCCATCTTTGAATCACCTTGTATTAATATTAATGGGTTACAGTTCACAACAAGTTGAATTGGATTGGCCATGTAAACATTGTGACTGCAACAGCAGTTGAGAGGCTAGGAATTCTGCGGCAATAACTCATTTCCTGTTTGCCCAGTGCCTGAACACCATTGTAAAAGACACAAGTCAGGAGTGTGATGGAATACTGTCCACTTGCCTGAAAGGGTGCACCTCCAGAAACATTTGAGCTTGACATCATTCAGGAAAAGGCAGTCTGCTTGATTGGCACCCCATCCACCACCTTCAATATTCACTCTTCAGCACTGGAGCATGGTGGCAGCAGTGTGTACTGTTGACAAGATGCACTGCAATAACTCACCAAGACTCCTCCATCAGCACCTTTCAAGCACTACCACTTGGAAGGACAGGGACAGCAGTTACATTGGAACACTGAATTCTGCAAGTTCTCCTCTAATCTCATTCATTCTCATTTGGAATTATACAACATTACTTCACGATCACCAGGCGAACATCTTGAAACTCCCTTCCTCACAGCACTGCATCTCCCTACTCCCCCAGTGACTGCAGCAGACCAAGAAGGCTATTCAGTATCACCTCCATCACAATTAGGAAAGGCAATAAATGCTGGCCTGCCAGCAACATACACATCCCATGAACAAAACAAAACATGAATGCATATGTTTGCTTTTATAAATGCACTTCAGTGTACCATGTCCAAGTTAGAATATCAGTATTATGTGGTTCTGAAGTTGTTGCTTGTATTATCTCCACAAGGGCAGGAGCTTCCCAAGCTGGTTTAAATAGTCTAAACTATTACTTATCTGGAGTCATTTGGTCAGTTTCTTATTGCTATTGTGTTTTGAAACCTTGAGTTGTTACAGCTGTACATTATCTATTTTTTTGTTTCTTGGTTGTTTGAGAGATCTGGCTGGTTGTCTTTTTAGCTTGAGAGATCATTTTCTTAACGATGCAAAATTTGAAAAGTACTGACTGTGACCGTACTGTTGAAGTTTGTAACAGATGACATTTGTCTAGAGTGAATTAAACCAATGGTGTTGGGCAGCTTGTGTAGCAAGTTTTTTGATATTCTTTGTTCTGCCTGTGATTCTAGTGAACAGCGAAAATTTTGAACATTTTACAGGGCCAGATTTCGCAGTGGTAATGATGGTAAAACTGTCAACACTCACTGTGTTCGTTCCTCTAAAATATAAGATGAATTCAACATTTTCTGGAGTCAGTTTAAATGCAGGAATGAAGAAATTGCTTTTCTTGATTCTGGACTTTTCTATAGTGTGCACTGTTAAATTTGCCCTAGACTGCAATTAAATAGAAATCGCTGATGTTGCCCATTATACCATTGAATAACCTTTGAAAAAAGCTGCATCTTGTTGAATGAGGTGTTAATTGTGCATCTACAAGTGTACTAATTTCATAACTACTGCAGAAAAGCAAAGTTTTTTCATGATAAAAGGAATGCCTGATTTTTAAGTTTTCTTTTAATGTTTATGAAATATATTTCAGCTTCCACCACAGTCCACATGTATGTTCCAATCATTTATTTCAATTTTGTAAAATTTTTAATCAAAACTTCATTTATTGTAAAGTAATTAGTGCAGTTTTCCTCCCTGTTTGCTGTCTGAGAATACTTTAGTGTGACTGCTTTCTTTAATTAATGATTTCGCTGGTGCTAGACATGTAAAGATCCTCTTGATTTACCGCTAGATTGAAACTAGTGTCAGAAAAGTGCAGATCCACAACAAAGATCACTAGGTTTTTGTGCAACACTTTCTTTGAGGTTGCCAGTGAGTGCAGTCATGTTGCTGTGGATTACCAAATCAGGATTTTGGTGTTTTTGCCCCAGGAGTTTCTTACTCATTAACTTAGCTTAAATGTGATTTCCAGAACTGCATTTCCTCAATAACTAACTAGCCATTGATTGCTTTCAGATTTAGCAAAATGACCTTGGTTTATGCATATATACTGAGACCATTACTGAAGCAAAGACTAATAATATATAAAGTAGTAAAACAAATGAAAACTAGTATAATTATTAACGCAATAGCATTGTTGATTTGCAAACAAGGAAAACTCAATTTTATTTAAAAAAAAGAGGGTTGAATACATTTGTCTTATTTTCCTTCCATCTTTACTGTTTTGACTTTAAAATGTTACATTTTAATGTAACTGATTCTAACCATTTTTTCCTCTATTTTATCCTTTTAACTCTACATACTTAAATCTTTGTGGCTTTTTTCTCAGCACTGTTACAATCCCTTCTTATATTATTACTGGACAAGTCAGATGCCAGAAACCTGGCCTGATAGGTAATGTTCTGTTTTACTTTGGTTTTAATGGCATCGTCTCTCACTGATATATAAGCACGAATTGTTGCAGGTTTTGTTCAAGTTTATTAAGCAAAAGAAATGAAGCTAAAATAGTATAAGCCAAACTGTTTGTTTATAACACTAATTCAAAGAGTTTTAAAAGCACAGCAAAAGTATAATTCCATCAATTCCTGAACACTCCTTCACAGTTTCAAAAAAAATCTTTGTATATTGCCTAAAAACACCCATTTCACAGTATTCATACCAGAGAATAAAATCTTTTCCTAATACCTCGATAAGCTTAAGGTAATTGTGATTTTAACTCTTAGATTGCGCTTAGATTGGAAATGCTGATAGCTTCTTCCTGGAGCTAATATACACTGGAGCTTAACTGTACTCTACTTCAGGTAGCCTCTTCAGAGTTTGGTTCCAACACTTTTGGTTTGAGACTACGACTAACTCCTTATTCTTATGTTTTGCTATGTTCTCTCCTTCTCAAGAACAAAAATCTATGCGACTATCTTCATTTAAGGACTTCACTGAACTGCTGAAAACAAAGTGAAACTGAAAAATACATTTCTGTCTAAGCTATAAATGTTTGCCCTAAACTTAAAAAGCCTCAAAACTCGAAATTTCCAACAGACCTTCAAGAGCAATGGTTTACCATGTAAAGTTGTAAATCATCCTTAGATTAAAAAAAATTAGTATAGCCAAAGTAGTTTTTGCAACTGTTTTTTTAAAAAAAGAAGTTATCATGGTTGCAGAAATACATGCACGTTAATTATTAACTTTAGACACATTGAAAAACTATGAACCCGAAATCTAAAACCTTAACTTAAAACAAATAATATTAAAGATTTATATAAATCTGACAATTTGTATCACAGCACCCTAACCCAATTCTGTTTTCTTTTTTGGAACTCAGAGCTATTTAAGCAATATTGCTTTTGGCTAAAAAAAATCTTTTCCAGAGGTCAGTTGCTCTGCCAACCAAATGGCAAAGATTGTTTGTCAGGACTGTAGCACATCAGAAAATTGGAAGATTACTGTAAGTTTCAATACTTAGTCACTGACTGTTAGCAGACAATGGTAACTACTGTAACCAAAACAGAAAATGCTGGAAATGCCAGCAGGTCAGGCAGTATCTATGAAGAGATCAAACAAGTTAATATTTCAACTTTCACTTTTGAAAGGCATTACAGATGAACTGTATTCCAAGAAGACCAGAATAAGAATGGGAAAATAGCCACAAAGATACAGAAAGGAAAAAGAGATGATGATTGGCAATATGCCTCAGTGTAAAACAGAAAATGATTGAGAGGTGATATAAACGTGCAAAGCTAGGAGACATATTGAGAAAATACAAATAAGTAAATGACACAAGACATAGTGTGTTTAATCTTTCTGTGCTGTCTGGGATTTCCTCATATTGCTTAAGTGCCATTTCAATTCATAATTTTATTTCATCAAAGTTAAATTATTCAGGCATTTCTGTCTCATTCCTGCTTTGTGCACTTTAGGCTAGATCATTACAACCATTTAATTATTCATCCAATTGAATCGATGGTAATCAAATGGACTCATCAGATTCGGGATGTACTGAAGAAGGATTCAGCTGAACCATTGTTGCAAGGACTTAATCCAGGTCCAAAGACTGAGTTGGTTTTTTGGAATGCAAGGAAAGAAAACTTGCTGTGTATTCATGAACAAGTAAGTGGAGTAAAAACAGGCTGGAGTATTTGGCAATCTTTTTTTCTTTACTTTCAAAACTTAGTGTCCTAAATTAGAGAGAGTTTAGTTTCTGGTGCCATTATATTTGTTTATTGATGAGTGCAGGAAATTAGTCTTACTTTAACTGTTGCATTCTTCTAGCTTCAAACTCCAGTTGTTCGAAAAATGGCCAAAATCTTAGAAACAACAGAAAGCAGCTATTTTCCCACTTTCAAACAAATTTTACAAGATGTTGCAGGTGGTACGTATTGCTCTTGTATTTTGTAAGTAATATTGATGGCATATTTTCTCGTGCAATATGAGCTATGTTGCCTCTGAACAGGGTAAATATTAGTGCTAGTTTGTTGATACAGAGGCTGATTTGCACTAACCATTCTGTATCTGTGAAAATGATTTTACATTATGTTGGTAGAAAACTTCTATGTAGACATGAAGTTGCCAAACTAGTTCTTTTTGTTTGAGCAAAACCTGTGAGAATACTTAATGTCAGTACTGTTGCATCAGGTTAATTCCAATTTTCTGACTGTGGCCTGTATGCTAATATTTAAGAAAATGTGACGGGATTAATTATTTTTAAATTTTGAGGTATGATGTCAAAAAAGATTCTGCTGATCTCCAACATTTTATTGCTATTTCTGCTGTATTCGATTAGAACTTTTGTTGAAATTATGGATGAAATACAAAACAGAAGTTAACTACTGAATTTTTTTTTACCATTTTGACAGTTATAAGAAAACAGAACATTGAAACAGAATGAACATTTTAAGTTCATTGTACACACGGAACAATCTAATTTATTTCACAAAATTTTAAAAAGGAGCTGAATCTGTAATTTGGATTTGTTGTTTCGACTTTGCAGATATGAGTGTGCTCTGAATCCTTGTGGTGCACAAGACTGGTATTTCATTGAGTACACATGATTAAAACTTGTATAATTGCAGTATTTATTTCCTTTTTAAACAAAACAGTTAATGTAGATTGATCTTTTCACTTGTGGTGCTGCATCTAATTTTACCAATATGCCTTCTGTTATGTAAAATTTATACAAAGGTCTAATACTAGTTTCTTCAAAATCTATATAAGTCATTAATATAATGATTAATACAGTTTAGGAAACAAAACTTTATCATGCAAGGTAGCCAGAGGCACCAATTGTAGTTGAATTACCTTGTAAAATAGCATATTAACCAAGCGTCTACAAATTTATAATTTCAGTAATTTACTGTGGCTACAGTGACTCATCATTCTATTCCTGTGACAAGGTTGATGCATCTTGTAAACTTTACAAAATATTATTTGATATCCTGTGACATTGCTGACAGTGAATTGGAGAAATGAATAATGTATTATCGTCTCAGACGTCTTTAGTCTCCCATTTCTGTTTTATCTCGTTGCTGTTCTTTTCCCCTTTAACTGTTTTTAATTCCCTCTATATGCATTATGATTAGCATGTTTGCAAATGACACTAAGATTGGTGGAGTAGCAGGCAGTGAAGGGGACTGTAGGAGAATGCAGCAGAATATTGGCAGATTGGAGAGTTGGGCGGAGAAATGGCAGATGGAGTTCAATCGAGGAAAATGCGAGGTGATGCATTTTGGAAGATCCAATTCAAGAGCGAACTATACGGTAAATGGAAAAGCCCTGGGGAAAATTGATGCACAGAGAGATCTGGGTGTTCAGGTCCATTGTACCCTGAGGGTGGCAACGCAGATCGATAGAGTGGTCAAGAAGGCATACGGCATGCTTTTATTCATCAGACGGGGTATGGAGTACAAGAGTTGGCAGGTCATGTTACAGTTGTATTGGACTTTGGTTTGACCACATTTGGAATACTGCGTACAGTTCTGGTCGCCACATTACCAAAAGGATGTGGATGCTTTGGAGAGGGTGCAGAGGAGGTTCACCAGGATGTTGCCTGGTTTGGAGGGCGCTGGCTATGAAGAGTGGTTGAGTAGATAGGATTATTTACAATAGAAAGACAGAGGTTGAGGGGGGACCTGATTGAGGTCTACAAAATCATGAGAGGTATAGACAGGGTGGATAGCAAGAAGCTTTTTCCCAGAGTAGGGGACTCAATTACTAGGGGTCACGATTTCAAGGTGAGAGGGAAAAGTTTAAGGGAGGTATGTGTGGAAAGTTCTTTATGCAGAGGGTGGTGGGTGCCTGGAACGCGTTGCCAGCGGAGATGGTATAGGCGGGCATGATAGCGTCATTTAAGATGTATCTAGACAGATACATGAATGAGCAGGGAGCAAAGGGATACAGATCCTTGGAAAATAGGCGACAGGTTTAGATAGAGGATCTGGATTGGCGCAGGCTTGGTGGGCTGAAGGGCCTGTTCCTGTGCTGTAATTTTCTTTGTTCTTTGTTCTTTGTTCATTGTTATTTTTTCTGCCCTTTGTCTTTTTTCCTTTTGAGTGGGAGATGATTAGTAAGGTTTAGTATGAAGTGGAAACATGCAACCAATAACAGTAGGCTACAGTATGTATGGGAGGAGTATGGAAGATGTGGCCTTCAGTTTTCTTCCTACTCCTTCACTCTTGTGTCAGCCCTGTTTGGTTACTTGAGTCATGTCATTTAGCAGTGCAGCTTTCAAGTCCCGTATCTTCTTACAAATCATCTCTGGCTCCATTTCTTTATTGATTGATTTAGCAGGCATTGAAGTCTCCCATTCCCCTATGCTAGCCTGTTGCTCACCTCCTCCTAATCGTTGCTTCCATTTCTGAAATTCCCTCCAACTCCTTCAGAGAATGGGTGCCAAAAAGACAAATATCAAGAGGGTAATGAAATACTCCCTACTTGCCTTGATGAGTGCAACTCCAGGAATACTCATGAAACATCCAGGACAGAACAGCCCACTTGATTGGCACTACATCCACAAGCATTCACTCCCTCTACCATCGACCGTCAGTAGCAGCAGTGTGTACCATCTACAAAATGCACTGGAGAAATTCACTAAGGATTTCATAGACAGCATCTTCCAAATCCACAGCCACTACTATTTAGAAGTGCAAGGGAAGCATGTACTTGGAACACTACCATCTGAAGCTCTTCTACAAGTCAGTCAACATCCTGATGTGCAGATATATTGCCGTTCCTTCAATGTTTCTGGGTGAAACTCCTCGAACACGGTATTGTGGGTCTGCCTACACCAATGGATTGCAGTCATTCAACAAGGCAGCTCATCACCACCTTCTTAAGGGCAACCAGGGATGGGGAACAAATACTGGCGCAGCCTGCAATGCCCACATCCCATGAGTGAAGTTGTTAAAAACTTGGATGTATTGGGAGGGAAGATAAGAAAAAAATCTATGAATGCACATTGGTGTCATGGTTGTCATTGTAAATAATTAATCCTGCACTTCTGTGTAGATATGTTCACTTACTCTCTTAAAATGTCTGCTCTAATGTTTCTGTAATAGTCCGTCCTAATGAAGTCGCCTCTATTTGAATTTAGGCAAGTTCTTCAGACATCCCAAGGATGGAAGAATTTGTAACACCCACGCATTTCTCAACTCCCACAAGCACCCGACTCCTTGACGCAGGTAGCGTTAGATGTCATGGATCATTGAGCTGTCACATTGTTGACTGCAGCCGAAATGTTGCACTTCAATGTGGACAACACTGAAGTTACAAGTAGTGTACAGGGATATTGATAGGGCATGCCCTCTTTACTCAGTGGCCAGATGAGAGAAGTTGCACACAATGCTGCATCTTTCTGGTGCGTCTCTGTCCTACAGGATGTTCACATATTTCACAACTGTTTAGCAGTCTGTGTGAAATCTGAAATATTGAAGGGTAGCTAGTGATGGAAAGTAAAAAAGAGGGACCTCAAGATTGCTCCCAGTATGTTGCCTTTAATGGGGGCCTGCACTGCGTGACACCCAGATACTGGTGAATGTTGACTGAAGCATAAAAAGCCACCTAACTTTAACACCATGCTGTGTTACTGCACTATCGCTGACTGATACTTTCTCCCAATTGATAAGTAGGGCTGTAAAGTGCAGATACTTAAAGGTGGGATAAGCTGAAGATGCCACACATACAATCATATGCATTAGATGACATTTATTCATCAATTGAAACCAAAAATTACAGATCATATTAAACATACTTCTGAGAATGTGGCAGCTCTGAAGCATTATCTTCCAGTATTGGGTCTGAGAAGTGAGTATAGAAACAGCAAACCCCAGCTAGATTTTTAAGTCTGCATCTGCATAGCTTCACGTATCGAACGTGACTGGGCAAGTTAATGAAAAGTTTGTAGTAGTTGTGATTGCTTGAGGCAATAAGTTTTAATGCTATTGTTGTCAAAAAAATGACTTTTCAATGAAATTCGATTTGCTGGCAGATGAGTGTCATTACCCAATCAGTGGTTGCATACTTTATAAATTTGGCCTTACCAGGGCCTCTCATTCAATGAATTATGTTCTGCCTTCAAAGAGAAAAACAGTAACTAGCTTCATTCACTTTGCATGTAGTGACAGCTGTATTTCTCCTTATTGCACAGTTGAGTTTGGTGCAAAGGTGACAAGGTGCCTTATGTCCGTAAGGGTGAATTGCAGGCTCCATGACTTCCTCTTCCACTCCCTATCCTTCATGTTCCTTTTGTGTCACTATCCTTGTGCCCCTGATGACTTTTCAGCCTCCCTCCATTTCTATTCAACCCCTTTGTATTATTGTTAATGCTCTCCATTTACCTCCCTGAGCACATGGCTTTGTAAGTTGCCATGACCCTGTCAGCCTTACACATTTCCCATGTTGAGGCTTGAATGATTGTGGCTTCAGAAGACCTCACCCTGCAGTTCACTGTCCCCTCCACTGAATTCCCAACCTTCTATCTTGAAATGCCCTCTTTCATGATTAAATTCCCACAAAGACGCATTCCAGTGAACCTAGACCTGAGCTGCATTTTCCCCAGGACTAGGTGGACTAGTTCCTGATAAGCCCCTGACCATTAATACCCAACCCCAGGTCTGATTGTGGCACAAGCCTTGAATTAACTTGTGAGGGCAAACCTGACTGAGCACTTCCCAGTCCCCAAACATTGTCACCACAGCACCCTAACTGACCTGATTGTTGCCCTTGACCTGCAGGAAATACTGTGGCCCAATCCCCAGAGTGTAAGGACACTGATCTTCAGACTCTGGTTGGACCAGGCACCTGACTGTCCAACACCTGGACTAAGATCGGATGAGCCCCTTGTCTGACTCTGGTGGCTGACCATAGTCCCTCTTCGCCCACTAAGGTCTGGCCCCATTTGACTTTCAGATGTAATCATTTCCTTGAAGCACATGAGGCAAGATGAGCTATTAATAAGATGCAAAAGTGTAGGAACAAGGTAGTCATTGCTCGTTAGCAAGTATCAGACCTTGCTGTTTAAACTCTAAGGGAAAAAAAGTTGAAATTTCTTAATTCATGTCAGGATTATGAATTAAACATTGCCACCATGCCATCCCAAATTTTTTGCCATTGTCCACATCTCTTATGACAAGGGAAAGTTCCACTCCTAGCCTCAGAAGTGAAAATTCTGCCCAATGTATCAGCATCACCACTATAAAGCCCCTTCAAAATCTTCCATGTTTCAGTGAGATCACTTGTTATTTTTCTAATCTCCAGAATGTATGGGCCCAATTTAATCTCTCATCAGAGGATCACAGCACGCCCCCCCCCCCAACAAAAAAATCATTTAATGAGTATTCACCACTGTCACCAATACGAATGTCACTTTATTTATGGATGTGGTCTGACCATGGCCCTTTACACTTTTAACAAGACTTCTTTATTTTTGTATGCCAAAATTATCCATGTAATAAAGGCCAATCTGCCATGTGCCTTCCTCATAGTTTGCTTCACCTGCATTCTGACTTTCTCCATTCTTTGCACAAGTTCCAGTTTTCTGAACAGCAATACCTTTAAA